AATTAGACACCTGCAAGTATATAAAACAGTACCATATGGTAGGAGTTATTGATAGAGCACTAGATATTGGTCATGGTCCCATGGATTCAATGCAATCATTTGATGGAATAAGACAAGGACCAGCTATAGGACTCAAATAATTGGAAGCCCTGGATTTTCACAATATGGGTATGGGAAGAGAAATGCATAAGGGAAAGAGTTAGTTACAAGTGCTGAGATGGCCTGTTTGTTTGCCCATACTCATGTTAATAGTTGAGGAGACAACTCCACAAAGTAAGTCACGTATTATACTCATGTTAAAGGACTTATTCAAAAATGATAGTTTTGAGCCAATAAAGAGAGGTTCGAGGTATGGGTAATGAGAAGCCTTCGTAAATCATTTCTAGCGTGCCGAATCTGTGTGCTTTGAAACAATTTAATGTATTTGCCAAGTTTCAATGCAATTTGAAGCACATTTTAGATACTTTGGTATGGTTTTCACATGTTTTGTAGCAAATACTCATTTTTCCCTGTCGGAACTAGGGTTAATGAAAAGATGTGGGCTGATGTACTATTACTATTTGAGGAATGACTATTTGAGCTTAGTTTAAAACATTGAACGTGACGGGAAAACTAAATCAGGTTGAGTTGTTTGTAACAAATGTACTTAGAATAGTAGAGATTTTCAGGCCTACACTTGTGAACTCACATTATTAAGCAATGGTATTCTCTTACATTCCTCTTCTTGATACTTCTGTCTGAGATGCACTAGATTTCATTTGTTCTTTTCAAGTACTTTCACAAGCAAAATGTTATCAAGTGTGATTTTCTACTTCTTCTCCCCTTCATTTCCGGGGCATGGTTTTCTGATATGGTTTCTTGCAGGTTTTAAGTTTTTAAGGGCTATCCCCTTCTTTTGAAAAATGCTTCTTGAATTGTTTTAATAATTCTAATATACAGTGAAAAGCACCTTGATTATATGTTGAAAGTGGGCAAAAAATCTGTTGATATTTGTATGTAGAATAGTCCCACATCGATTATATAGTGTAATTAGTTGTAATCTCTCTATATATAATAAAGTCTCCGTAGTGCTTTCATAACATACGGTTTAACCTAAATGTCTCTTAGTCTCTCCTAATTCAATATGGTATCTAGAGCCTTCTAAGAGGCAATTCTTCGCCGTGTTTTACCCGGTTGACCCACTGTCTTCCGGTAAGAAATTTTCTTCTGCAAACCGTGTCATCATTCCGGTTTGCCTCACCTTTTTTTCCAGCGACCTCTGCCAAGCACAGTCCACGAAAAAAAAATTTTTTTTTTGGAGGACTACTGTTCACCGCCGCCGCTACTGTTCACAAAAAAAAAAAAAAAAATAATTTTTTTTTCTTCGGAAAATCGCCTTCCTCCTCCGGTTCCAGATCCGCCCTAGGCTTTCGTTTTCGACTCACAGAAAGTCGTACTCTCGAAAAGTCGTACACTATGCAGACTTCACCTTTTCTTCAGAACCCTACGCCAAGCTACGAGGATTTTCTCAGGTGGTGTCAGACTAACCAGACCTCTGGTTCAACGGCTTCGTTTGCACACACTGGTAATTCATCTGTTTGCGTCTCTCAATCATCTCCTCTTGGTCCTTGGGTCCTCGACTCTGGTGCGTCTGATCATGTTACCGGTAATAAAAATCTTTTCTCTTCCCTTTCTACCTCTGGTTTCTTACCGAGTATAACTGCCGCAAATGGTTCTCAAACCCGATCCCAAGGGATCGGTACTGTTCAAATTCTACCATCTCTCTTTGTTACTTCTGTCCTATATGTACCCAATTGCCCATTTAATCTACTGTCAGTCAGTCGTTTAACTCGTTCCCTTAATTGTTCTATCACTTTTACTAACAGTGATGTTATTCTGCAGGATCGAAGTTCGGGACAGACGATTGGCGTCGGATGTGAGTCTCAAGGCCTTTACTACTTCTCTACGTCATCTACCACATGCTCCACCACAAATTCTCCACTCATTATACATGCGCAGTTAGGTCATCCAAGTCTTCCCAAACTACAAAAGTTGGTGCCCAATTTATCTAAATTATCCACTTTACAGTGTGAGTCTTGTCAATTAGGGAAACATACTCGTAGTCACTTTCCTGATCGAGTCAATAAACGGGCTGCGTCTCCTTTTGCTTTAGTTCACTCCGATGTTTGGGGTCCATCGCGTACTGTGTCTACTTTTGAGTCTAGGTATTTTGTAACATTTATTGATGATTTTTCACGTTGCACGTGGCTATTTTTAATGAAAAACAGATCTGAATTATTTTCTATTTTTGAACAATTTTATCGAGAAATAAGAACCCAATTTGGTTTGTCCATTCGTACCTTAAGAAGTGACAATGCTCGTGAATATTTATCCCAACAATTTCAAACTTTTATGTCATCCAATGGTATTCTACACCAAACATCTTGTCCTCATACACCTCAACAAAACGGGATAGTCGAACGCAAAAACCGGCATCTCGTAGAAACCACTCGGACTCTACTTCTCCATGGTAATGTCCCTCTCAGATTTTGGGGGGATGCTGTGCTCACAGCGTGTTATCTCATAAATCGCATGCCCTCATCTGTCCGTAATAATAAAATCCCTCATTCAATCTTGTTTCCAAACTCTCCTCTTCATCCAATTCCTCCTCGAGTCTTCGGGTCTACATGTTTTGTGCATAATCTCTCCCCTGGTCTTGATAAACTATCAGCTCGATCACTAAAGTGTGTCTTTCTTGGTTATCATCGATCCAAAAAGGGTTATCGTTGCTACTCACACACTCTGCAACGATACCTGATATCGGCCGATGTTACCTTCTTCGAGTCTGTGCCATATTTTGCGTCCACCCAAGTCACTCCGGAACCCCTTCAGGAAAGTACTCCCACACCTCTTCCGGACGTCCCAATTCCCATTATTCCCCATCATTCTAGGGAACCTGTCCCACGAGAAACCCCTACGGTTGACCCCCCCACTTCTCGTCCACTTCAAACATATCAGCGTCGTAAACCAACGTCTGTCATACCTGTCCCTGAGGTCGTACATGTCCCTGAGGTCGTACATGTCCCTGAGGTCATTGCAGACTCTCCTCCGACGCTATCGCCATCACCGGATTCGATCCTGCAACCTGAGTCTGATCTTCCGATTGCCCTTCGCAAAGGTATACGTCAAACACGAAATCCTTCTCCACATTATATTGATTTATGCTATCATCGTCTTTCCCCTTTGCAGTATACTTGTTTGTCCTCTTTGTCTTCTGTTTCTATTCCTAAATCTCCAGGTGAAGCATTATCTCACCCTGAGTGGAGGCAAGCAATGATTGATGAAATGTGTGCTCTTCAAAGCAGTGGTACCTGAGAACTGGTTCCTCTACCCACTGGAAAATCTTTAGTAGGTTGTCGTTGGCTTTATACAGTGAAGGTTGGTCCAGATGGTAAGATTGATCGTTTTAAAGCTCGCTTGGTAGCCAAGGGATACACTCAGATTTTTGGGTTGGATTATAGTGATACATTCTCGCCTGTAGCCAAGATGGCATCTGTTAGACTTCTTCTAGCCATTGCAGCCATTCGACACTGGCCTCTTCATCAACTTGACATCAAAAATGCATTTTTACATGGTGATCTTGAAGAGGAAGTATATATGGAGCAACCACCTGGGTTTGTTGCTCAGGGGGAGTCATCGAATATGGTTTGTAGGCTACACAGGTCTCTTTACGGTCTTAAGCAATCTCCGAGAGCTTGGTTTGGCAGATTCAGCACTGTAGTACAACAATTTAGTATGGTCCGTAGTGAAGCTGATCATTCTGTCTTTTATCGTCACTCAGTACAAGGGTGTATTTATCTTATTGTGTATGTAGATGATATTGTCATAACTGGTAGTGATGAGTCGGGAATACTCCAGTTGAAACAACATCTTTCAAATCAATTTCAAACAAAGGATCTTGGTAAACTCCGGTATTTCTTGGGTATTGAGGTAGCCCAATCTAAAGATGGTTTGGTGATTTCTCAGCGGAAATATGCTATGGATATTTTGGAAGAAACAGGTTTGTTGAACGCTAAACCAGTTGATACTCCTATGGATCCAAGTGTCAAACTACTACCCAATCAGGGGAAGCCTCTATCAGACTCGGGAAGGTATAGGAGATTGGTTGGAAAGTTGAATTATCTCACAGTCACTCGTCCAGACATTTCTTTTGCAGTCAGTGTGGTAAGTCAGTTCTTAAATTCCCCTTGTCAGGAACACATGGATGCTGTTATCCGGATTCTAAGATACATCAAATGTGCTCCAGGAAAAGGTTTAGTGTATGAAGATAAAGGACATACTCAGATAGTTGGATACTCTGATGCTGATTGGGCAGGGTCACCAATTGATAGACGATCCACCTCTGGGTACTGTGTACTTGTTGGAGGAAATCTTATATCCTGGAAAAGTAAGAAACAAAATGTAGTTGCAAGATCAAGCGCCGAGGCAGAGTATAGGGCCATGGCAATGGCAACATGTGAACTCATTTGGTTAAAACAATTGCTCAAAGAACTTAAAATTGAAGAAGCAAGACCAATGACACTTGTATGTGATAATCAAGCTGCATTGCACATTGCTTCAAATCCAGTCTTCCATGAGAGGACCAAACATATTGAGATAGACTGTCACTTTGTCAGAGAGAAGATCGAATCCGGCGTCATCGTCACAAGCTTTGTCAACTCTAATGATCAATTGACAGATGTGTTTACAAAATCTCTGCGAAGCCCCAGAACTAATTATATATGTGGCAAGCTTGGTGCATTTGACTTATATGCTCCAGCTTGAGGGGGAGTGTTGATATTTGTATGTAGAATAGTCCCACATCGATTATATAGTGTAATTAGTTGTAATCTCTCTATATATAATAAAGTCTCCGTAGTGCTTTCATAACATACGGTTTAACCTAAATGTCTCTTAGTCTCTCCTAATTCAATAAAATCATTTGTTATAATGTGATGATTTGTTTACATTTGTTGTTTCAGAGGAATTTTGTTGAAAGCATGGCCGGTTATTCTTTGGTTTGCTACCTTCTGCAGGTGTGAAAAATCTCACTATACGTGTGTACATAGCTGATGCATAGCCTGCTTGAATTGCAATTTAAATCATAATATTTTTCTGTTAGTTGTTCATCCACTTCTAGTTTTTGCTTTATTTTCATCCAGGTGAAGGATAGGCATAATGGGAACCTCTTATTGGATGAAGAAGGCCATATCATACATATCGATTTTGGCTTCATGCTTTCCAATTCACCCGGTGGTGTTAATTTTGAGAGCGCACCTTTCAAATTAACTCGGGAGCTTCTTGAGGTAAAACTGGGACAACTTCTTGAGGTAATGCACCTGATTTTTTAGTGTACTTTTTCTTTATAATATCTGGTAATGTGTTTGTGGCAGGTTATGGACTCTGATGCTGAGGGACTTCCAAGCGAGTTCTTTGATTATTTCAAGGTAATTTAGAGAGAGGGAGAGGGAGTCTGCCAATGACATTTGATTTTTCAAGTCTAAATTGTCTGATGTTATGCACCCTGCAATCCAGGTTTTATGCATTCAAGGCTTCCTTACTTGCCGTAAGCATGTCGAGCGTATTATTCTTCTAGTTGAGATGTTGCAGGTAATATAAATGTTAGCTCCCTGTTGCAGTCTCCATGTTATCTAACGTATATACTGCCTATGTTCATTGTCTGACTGCAATTAGTTCCTATATCTCCTAGCAGAACAACAGGCTGTTATGTTTTTTCATTTATTGTTGGTCCAAACCTATCAGGTTGAACCCGACTTTCCTCGTCCAACTTTCTTTTTTAAGTATTGTCCGCCATTGGTCCATTGCAAGCTGTTTAGTGTTCATATTTGATACGGGCATTTTATGTCTTTAGGAATGGCCTTGCTGGCTGTCCACTGACTGAAAATTTTCATTATATTTACATTCCTTCTTAATAGAGTTAAAACGAAACATAAAGTACTATATTTCCTTAACAATTGGATGCTTACATCTTATGCTCTTTGCAAAAGAAGTTATATACATGATTTCTGTAGTGAGTTGTGGTTTATAAAAGGGTTTAAGCAAACTTTAAAAAATCCGGACTAGATTGGTTGGCTTTTTTGAGAATACTAGCAAATCAATGAGTTGTTTAGTCCATTAAAAAATCGTCTTATTAGATAACCAGTACGAAATGGTCGAACCTATTCAAAATCATAGGGAAATGATTAGAAAATAGGTTTAAGTTTACCCAAAAACATTTTTAGGCAAATAGAAGCCAAATTAAGGTTCACATGTTGATTGTTATTATCTAACCTCTTATTAATGATTTTAAGCCATAGACAATATGGTCATTTTATGCTAATTTAAACTTTCAACAAATCTGATTTTCTATTATTTTATATATTGATTTATTAATAAATATTTCATATAGCATTAAAAATGTATACATAATAATCAAATCAGTTGGTTTTAATAATGGATCTGGTTTTAAAAACATTGGGTGTGATTGAAGTGTGTATGTGACTGTAGACAGTTTTTAAGAAAACTTGAATTACAGAGTGTTGAAGATTCTCTACATGCAAGATCGACATCTTTGAACTACAAAATTGAAATCAAAATATAGAAGCATGTATCTTCCTTTGAAATTGTAATTTTTAAATCTTAGAAATGTTTTGTTTGCTAATCTAGAAAAATGTGAAAGACACTATATTCTTCGGAAACTTATGATTGTCTTTGCATTTTAAGCTGGTTAAGATAATATCTTGTTATAAATTCTGCTGAGAATCAATAACAAACTTGTAGGATCCATTAAAGGTACAGTGATTACTAGGTAGGTAAGTTTGTGTTTTTTTTTTTAAAGAATGGCAATCCTAATTTGCAATTCTCAGCAAATAGTGTATGTTAAAATATTTAGTAAGGAAAAGGTGGATGCGAGGGAATTATCCAACGTGAATGTTAACCAGTTGAAAATTTGTAGTTGTTTTAGACAACAGGCTGGGGCCAGGTATGGCAAATTGGTGAGGTGGTTGGTTTTTCTATAGCATGGCTAGAATAGAAATTTTGCTGAGTTTCCAGCTCAAACTCAATGAAAGGAAAAAACAACCTTTTTTATGCCACAAGGTTACAGTTTGTTTATTCAGAAGTTTCCCTTTGTCCTCGCCTTTTAGCCAACAGTTGACTGTAACCTTTCTGAATGCCCCATGTTGTAATATAATCCTGGGTTTTACTTATTTTTAAGTGAACTTTGGTTGTCCTGGCACTCAACTGTGTGTGTACTTTCTTGGGGCTCTCATTGCTATTGTGCCTATGCATTGGGAGGAGACAATCAGGAATTACTCTGCCATACATGCTCTGAATTACTGTTTCCTTATGTTTCAGGATTCTGGTTTCCCCTGCTTCAAAGGTGGACTACGGACAATTCAGAACCTAAGAAAGCGATTCCATCTCAGTTTAACAGAAGAGGTTTCAACTTATTTTAAATCTCAGTTCTCTTTCTTTGCTGTAATCTTTTTGCCTGTGATTGTTATATCTTTTTATCTCCTTGCAGCAATGTGTATCTTTGATGCTTTCACTTATTAGCAGCAGTCTTGATGCATGGCGAACACGGCAGTATGATTATTACCAGAAGGTTTTGAATGGAATATTGTAAGATAGCTTGTCAGCCGTGGTCATTTGCTTGTTCTTTTTTGGCTAAGCTTGCAGGGTGAATGATTGCGTATCAATCAGAATTGCATTTCTAAAGTCATTGGAGGGTGGTTGGTTCACTGCAGTATGGTTCGAAGTTTTTTAAGATGTAAACAATGAATTAATAGGTTGCTGGATGCTTCCTCTTTTCTTATGATGGCAATGGGAGTGATTTTTTTGTGCAAATGAAGCTCTGCCACTTTGAGGTAAATCAAATCGTACAGTGATTTTACAGAGTTCAGATAAGATTTTGGATATTGATTCACGAAAGCTTTTAGAGGGTGTTTGAATGGTGGAGCAAATACTGACCTGGTATGTTTTGGATATCTATTATGAATGGCAGACATCTACTTTGGCAAATAGTTATGTTATTTCTCCAAGGTCTCGGTTGATTTATTTATGGCATCTCTCTTCCCAAAGTTGATTCTTCCCTACAATGCAAAGCTGTCAACTTTCTTTAATGATGTTCAATTGTATAATGTGTAAATGACCCTCCTTACTTTTCAAGGTGAAATTTGTTCATATTTATATTAATCATGATTTTTTTTGGTCAGATCGGCTGTGAAATTCAGTCTTTACTTCTATGTGAAACTGGCTTTTCAATACACAAGTAAATTTTAATTTAAAATAGGCAAATCTCAGCCGTTGAATGTGACAAACATGCGATGTTTGAAAAAATAGAGTTTAAATGCGAATTATGTTCAACAAATTTGGTCACATTTGGATGTAACTAAAATATGCTAACAAATGCATTTTCATGTTCTACAAGCCAATATACAAAGGTAATCTGTATTAACTTCACTAAATGTTGTATCTTTGTATTTAGACCTCTCAGAAATGATCATTATTTATATCTTGGGTTGATAAGGAGGATGCATATTCTTAGGGGACGTTGTTGCATGTCCTTAACACATGCAGCGGAGCACCCTCAATATATTTATTTTGTTGTTTGTCTTATCGCTATCGTTTATTATTTTTTATTGAGTCTTTTTCATGATTGCATATCTTTTGAATCAAATTGAAATCGATTCGTTATTTGTTTTAGTATATGTATAAAACAATGATTATATTTGAACTTGATCAAGATGTTTTTAGTCATTTGCATGAGTCGGTGGAATAAAAACTATATATTTTTTATTCAAGTTAGGTGCAAAGAAAAATCTCAGTATTTTTAAAACTATGAAAAGTTGAGATTTTGTGTGTGTGATTCAAATCGTACAGATTAAACACATTCTGATTCAAATCAAATTGAACATGACAAAAACAAGGATTTTCTAGCAATTTGATTTGAATCACAATTTACATTTGATTTGAATCAAGCTCTTCCTGGTCACCCCTATTGGATTTGATTCGAATAAGACTTGACATCTTATATAAATCAAGGACATGTTGCAGTTGATTCAAATAAAAATTTGTACATGATTTGAATCACCTGATCTTTGATTCGAATCAGACATTGTTCTTGATTCGAATCAAGCGTGAAATGGGTAAAAAATATGATTTCTTTTTATTCCATTCATTCACTTGCTCATTTGACTCAAACCATGTATTATTCTTGATCCGAATCTAAGTTAATGTTCTCAATCTTGCCCTATTTACCTCAATAGTGTCCTCATGAGTAATTTGCAGGATGTCTCACATTTCTTTTGCAGTTTCGCAGTGAGAAACTCGCAAAAATTCTTCAAGATCGAGAGTTGTAGTGATGACAATTTTTGCTTTCAAACTGTGGCGCACATTATCTTTATCATCTTTGGTCCAATACTTTTTAGGTTTTCTACTAAAACACCATTGACATCATGTGTAGGAATAAATGAACCTTCTTTCACATCCTTCTAAATACCATGATCCATCTCTTCTATGAAAAAAAATCATTTTCGCTTCCCATAAACTACACCCTTCTCCATTGAAGGATGTGGGTTTGTATAGTGAATAGCTTGAATATATTTTTCCTACAGAGACAATTAATACTTAACAAGAGTTAGACTTTGATGCTACTTGTTTGACAAATTACTTCAAGCACAAGAGGGGGTTAATTTTGATATTTACAATTTGTGATTTAATTTTATATTTTCTTGATTAAAGTTGAAACTGTGTAAGTAGTTTCTTAAGAGTAAATATAGTAAATAACTGAAAAATAAAGAGATTTCCGAATAAGCCAACAAACCTTTAGAGATTTTCAGGCTTATCTCAATAACTAAAACATAATTTTTTCCAGCAAAACTCAATAAACCAAAATAGAGATTTTATGATTGGTTTATATCACAAACAAAACTCAATCTTCTCAAGAGTATTAAAATCTCCAGAGTTAAGAAAACATCACAACCACTTAAATTTTTTTTCTCACAAGTAAAGTTTCACTTAAAAGCATTATAGCAACTTTAAGTGAAAAATGAATATTTCTAGAGAGAGAAGAAGAGAAAATAGAGATATAAATTCCAAAGAAAATGTAAATTTTTGGAAAGTGGTGTGAAATGAAGAGGAGGCGAATCACCTTTATATAAGAGTTGGGAAAATGAGAAATGGAAGTGATTCATAGAATTGATGAGCTAATCGGTTGACATCTTACTCTAATTGATTGGATGAGCTAATTTTATTTTGATTATCTTTTTGAACATAGAAATATTTGATATAGAGTAGTTGGAGGTTATCAAGATACTGTTATAATTGTTGGTTAAACATTTATCTCTTCTCCAATAGGTTGGCTTAATGCTCTAA